GTTTTGCAAGATTTGTGAAAAGAGCTTGCCAGAGGTGCTTTCTTAGGAAAGAGAGGACATGAGTGTGACCAGGCTTCAGGGGGAGGTGGTATTTAGCTTTTCTATAGCACTCACAAGTTTGCTGAGAGCTCTAAAAAGTTAAATGTAGCAGCCAGTGAGACAGTGTATTCCAAGTCCCTCACAAGAGGCAAGGCAGTCTTAACACTGGGCATTGGATGGTTCTCAAAGACGGAAACCAGCAAAATCAAAATGGGTAAGTCTTTAAAGTCACCTGGTTCAATTTCATCATTTATAGAGGGGGAAAGAAAAGCCCAAATAGGTTAAGCCATTTGTCCAAGTGAGATGTGCAGAACTAAAAGCAGAGCCAAGACTAGAATCTAGAAGTAATAATGAGCAAGAACAATAATAATATACTTTCTAGAAGCTTACTATACGCTTGAATGTTTCATATTATTTCACATAATCCTCACAATCACCCTACGAGGCAGGGAAAATAAAATCCCAAAGGAAAGACATTGAGGCCTGGGGAGGATAAGTGAATTACCTAAGGTCAAAGTGACTTTAAGTGGGATCTGAACTCAGCACTTCCAAGGTTCTTTCAACTGCTATTCAGTTTCATTTCAGCAAATTAAAGGAAGAATGGTGGCTGTTTTAGGTTCTTGGATATGAATTCCAGCATAAAGTAACAGATGAGCACTGTGCCTCCTTAGGGTTACTATGCCCTAAGCCTTAAAAGTAACTATTTACAAAAATAGTTGCAACTCTTCCCCTTCCTACATCTTTTGAATGTGATTTAGCAGCAACACCCATCAAGAGGTGGATTCTCCTTGCCCTTTCCCTGAATGGAGGTGGGCCTTGTGATTTAACCAAGAGAATGCAATGGAAGTGAATGATGCCACTTCTGACTCTAGGCCTTAAAATGCTGTACATACCTTCATCTGTTTTCTTGGAACACAGCCAGGGTCATGTAAGCCCAGGCTAGCCTGATGGAGGTGAACAGACTACAAGCATTGCAGCCAAACTGGGCCAACTGTCCCAGCTGAGGTTTCCAGAGATGTGAGGGAGCCCAGTCTGGACCAGATCAGTCCAATCACCCTAGTAATCTGTGTCCTGAGCAGGGCTCCAAACAGTTCATTCTGGTTCAACCCCCCTGCTGAGACTTTGCATTTCCACCCCAGATACACTGAATCAGTTTACATTCTGACAAGATCCACTCAGGTGATTATGTTGTTAAAACAGATTCTGATTCAGGGTACCTGGGGTGGAAAGGCAACTTCTCAGCAGGAGGTCAAACTGGAGTGAACTGGTTCTAAGCCCTCCTCTCCTGGGCAATGATACATGATCATTCTTGTTTTAAGCCACAGTTTTGGGGTGATTTGTTATGCAGCAAAAGCTAAGTGACATAGCCTTCTGACACAAAGCCTGCTTCCTTTGTAAGAAATCTTTCCTTTTAAATAGAGAACTCTTACAGGGCTGCGTTAAAAGTCAAAGTGGGAGCAGAATAAACCAAACCCAACCCACTGAAATCGAGTTGATTCCGACTCAAAGCAACCCCCATTGGGTTTCTGAGGCGATAAATCTTTACCAAAGTAGGTGGCCCAGTCTTCCTTTCACAGAGTGCCTGGTGGCTTTGAACCACCAGCCTTCTGGTTAGCAGTCAAATACCTTAGGCACCATGCCACCAGAGCTCCTTGAGATCAGAATAAAAAGGCTAAAATATCTCTGCTAGTTTAAGCTACAGTGATAATGTTGCAAATGTGGCCACTCACTTTTCCCCATCTCTTTCTCTCCACCCAGAAAATCTACACAGTTCTTTAGGCCACAGAGAACCAACCATACGTGCCCTTTCCCATTTAGGTGCAGGAATCCTGCAGAAGACAGAACCAGGATAAGTAGCACACACCATCAGGAGATACAGGTACGCAAGAACGATCATGTACATACGTTTCCAAGTAAAGAACGGCAGGTAGCGACTCACCGAGGGCACGGGTAAGTTGCCGTGCCGGCTGAGAAAGGAGTTAGAGATGGACACACTGATGCCCTGAGTGGCACTGCCGTCCTCAGGCGTGAAGGTCACTTTAGTTTGCTGGACACAGTAGGAGACAGAGAAGGAAGAAGCAGCATAGGAGGCCTGCTGGACAGAAGGGAAAAGAGAGATGACAGGGAAGAAGGGAGAAAAGCTGAGAACAATCAGGCATATATACACAGACACATGAAAGTTCCGCAGGCTGGCTGCCTACTTCTGCTCAGAGGCATTTTGGACAGGGGCAACTTCTTGGATCACTTCAGGGATCCAAAACACCAGCTGAAGGCTACCTGCACAAGAGGGTACCTACCCTCTTTCTCTTCCTTATGATAGATTTAAAAAGTTAACTTTCATACCAATTTTGTCTACTGGGAATAGGCAGTATGACAGAAAAAGGACAAGCAGGCTTGGTGCCATACAGCCCTGGGTTTGAATCCTGGTTCTGCCACTTGTTTAGGGCCTTGAGCTCCTCCCAGGTGGGGAGGATACTGGCGAGGTGACTCATGCTTCATCAGTGTGCAGACTAGGAGTCAGGCTCTCTGCGTTAGAGAGTCTGGGCTCTGCCATTTATGAGCTCTATGGCCTTGGGCATCCCTAAAGCTCTGTGTGCCTCAGGTTTTTCATCTGTAAGATGGAGTAACAATGGCACCTCCTGGTTTGGACTCTGTGGAGAGTTAAATGAGGCATCTAAAGTGCTTAAGAGTATGAGCCTACCACAGAGTACAATGGCCAACAGATTATCATTATCTACCATTTTTATTTGTAAAATGGGACACTTTCCACTTCTGCATTTGAGAGAGGGCACACTGCCGAGCGGCTGGCACGGTGCATGTCATGTGGTGTGTCCAGGCTTTAGTGAGAGTTGGCCTTGGTTCCCACTTCTAGCTCTGAGCTCCAAAAAAGTCTCTCAGGCTCTTGAAGCTGTGTGTTTACTTAAAATGGGCAAAACAGGAGCTGTGGTGAGATATGTGTGAAGTCATACAAAAGTCCCATGCACACATGTGGCAGGTGTTCAACAAGGTGGTTTGTTCCAACTCCTGGAGTCTCTGACCAGCCAACCTCTCCCCCAGGTATCTCTTACCACTGCCCTCAGCTTGGTGTTGAGGTCAGCTTGGTGTTGAGGCCAGTGTGCTGCCTCAGGACAGGTGCTGATCCCAAGTGTGCTCCTCAGGGATCTCTCTCCAAATACTCAAGCCTATGAAACTCCCGGGTACAAAGAAGATGCCCAAGGACATCAAATGTGCACTTGTGGACATGGGCAGGAGAGTCTGAGAATATTTCAAATCAATGAAATCCGGCTCAGCTGGGGTGTTAAATCCTCTTGTGCAGAACCAAATATTTTAGGGGATGAGTTCCTACGGCAACTCATCATGTTTCCATGGTGAAGATCCTTTTGTGAAACATTTCCAGAGCAATTAAAACTCTTATTTGGGCATATTCAGGTGGTTCAAGGGGTGGGCAGGGAAAATGGCATCAGTCTCGTTTTGCAGATGAACAGGGACTCAGAACACAATACATGCAACACAGGCAGTTATCGGCAGAACTGGAACTCAAGGACTGGCTGGTTCTGATTCTTGAAATAAAATGGCAGCTTGGCTGGCACTGTGATAGAGAGGCTTCTGAGCTCATGCAATGAAGAAACTCCTGGGACTGGGCATGGGCTCAGTGCTTTGTTACATGACTGCATGGTTCTGATTCGACCACAGAGTCCCAAGCCCCATAGCTCCAGAAGACTGCAAGGAGTAACCCAGGGACATCTGTCCTCCAGTCAGCACTTGCCTCCAAGAAAAGTCAGGGTAACACTTTCATGTCCTGTTACAATGGATAAAACACGGCCCTGCTAGCCACAACTGTCCCCTCTCATTAAAAAGTTACCACACTGGCCCATGTACCAGCAAAACAGTATATTCTGCTTTGAAAAAGTCAAGGATTCCCTTCTGGGATGTAATCTTCTGGGAAAGCATGACTAGGTGATATGCTTTAGTCTAAAAACTGACCAGAGTTTACTGGCTTAGTCAGCTGGTAGCAAAGAGAAACGGCTTAGAGGCATGCAATAGGCCAAGATGAAATGCTCAACCTGAAGGATCCTTATACCAAAACCAAACCAAACTCACTGCCAGTGAGCCTATTTCAACTCGTAGCAACCCCTCCTTTGGTTTCCGAGGCAGTATTTCTATGGAGGTAGATTGCCTAGTCTTCCTTTCAAGGAGTGGCTGTGGGTTTGAACTGCCAGTCTTCTGGTTAGCAGTCAAATGCCTTAGGCACTATGCCACCAGAGCTCCTGATTCTTGTACTAGTTCCCATCATTTTATAGGTTGGTCACAGTAGGACAGCCTGTCTTCTGTGCTGACTTTTGCTTTATTACATGTATGAAAGTCCTTAATATGGGAGATGTTTTTTCAGCGAAGGAAGGGTGCTACGCCTGGAATACAAAGTGGCTCTGTGTAAAGCCATCCTGCCTTCAATAGAGCTTGCTTTAACTGGGCCATCCCTGGCCAGAGCTGGACTATAAGTCACTCCATAGAGTTAGGTCCCTTATGTAAATCAAGCCCACAGATGGCCTGTACACAGACCATGCCCTGTGCTTTGATTAAGTCCCTCCTTTCTGGGAGGTCTATGTTAGAGTCAAAGAAGAGAGGAAAAAATACAAGAGACTGTCCACACAGAAAGCAAATATTCTTAGTATAAGCCAGTCTCAGCTGCAGCAGGCTGCTCTGGAAAAGAAAGGCATCACCCATTGCCACCAGGGTGGGGAGATGGCCAAGTGGAAGCCAGGCTGCCGAGGAGCTGATTAGCAGGGTGTGAAAGTACTCAAGTGGGAGATGGAGAGACTAACACACATGCCAAGGGCCCCAACACGGAACACAGAGTGAAGCCTGCCCCCAAGGAGCATCACTGTAGTTTATAGAGATCTGTTAAGAATTGCAGATTCTGGTCATGAAGGGCAGATGAGGACTGTGAGGGGTCTGCTTACCAGCTGCCGCTGCTTGGGGGGGAGGGCAGGAGGTGGGGCCAGCTCCTGGGCCGAGTCTCCGCTGCTGAAGGAGTCGTTGAAGCCGTACACCTCCATGAGGTGCTTGTTCTTCTGCTGGTAGATGTGCTCGTTCTGCGGTGTCTGGTAGAACATGGAGGGCTGAGGCTCCGAGTAGTCCTCGAGCAGCTGCATGTAGGCCAGCACTGTGAAACAGGGAGGGTGGTGGATGGCAGGCAGTCCCTCGCGTTCTTGGCTGCATTTTGTTACCAAAGCACAGGCTGAAGTGGGGAGGGGGGCTGCCATGCTGAGAGAATGCCCTCCCACCCCCATCCAATCCTTCTGGCAGCCACGCAGTTAGGGTGACTTCCTTAAGAAGCACATGGGGCATTTCACTCCCATGCTAAAAACCCCCTGGTGGTTTCCAGTCACATTCCCGAGGGACACCATGGGTCTGAACTGGGGATCACAAGGCTCAACAGAGTTGGTCAGTCCCGACTTGAACTGTTCCCTGCTCCTTTCACCTAGCTCCCGCTACACTATCTTCTCTTAGCTCCTGGAACAAACACCTTTAGGGGTTCCTGCACATGCTGTTCCTACTGTTCCAAATGCTCTCCCTCTGACTGTCCTGAGGCCTTCTCTTCCTTTATGGCTTGGCTTAGCAGTAAAACACCCTGAGAGGCTTATCAGGACCAGCCCCACCCCTATTATCCTCCAGCTAGGTCCCCCATTTTTCTTCTTACCACTTTCCATAGTTTTACTGAGCACCTACTTTATGCTAGGGACTGACCTAGGTGCTGATACCACATAGTGGGCAGCAAAACAAATCCTCTGCCCTGTGGAGCTCACATTCTGCTTGTGGAGACATACAATTAACAGACATATGGTGAAACATCAGGGAGAAATGAGTCCTGTGGAGAACAGTAAATAGGGTCTGATGGGGGTGCGACTCTAAAATATGGATGAGCTGTGTGAAAATTAGGGCGACAGCCTTCCACACTATACGTGATACAAAGGCCTGAGGCCGGGAAGAGGGCCCAGGTGGGCAGAACACAGCTGGCACAGGGAGATTGAAACGAGACAAGGCTCTGCCTACCAGATGGGGGTCAGCTCAGGGGCTGTGTGAGCAGAGCAAAGAAGCAGGTTTCATTCAGAACATGAGTGAAACCCACTGAACGATTCTACTCAGGGTACTCCTGGAGCTGATTTACGTTTTGAGAAAACCATTCTGGGGCTGCCGTGAGTGTTTAGGTGAGATGAATGGGAAGGCAGGAGGTGGTGAGGATATATTTTGAAAGTAGATCCAACAAGATTTATCAACTCCCCCTCAAGAGTTGATGCTCCATAGAAGTGAGGAAGTGACTGGGTCTGTATCATTAGTGCCTGACACACAGGAGGTATTACATAGTATGTGTGGAATGAATGAGTGGAAGGAACACATGTCTGCCAGGATTTGTCCTTAGTGATTTGCTAAACCAGAACTGTTTGTATCAGGCTAGAGCCCCTGGGGTATGTCTGGCAAAGTACCTACTGGCTATGCAAGAAATTGAACTCCCCTCTTCAGGTGAAAGGCTATAGAACATTCTAGTGAGAAGAACACATGGCGAAGAAAAAGGTGCTCACTTTCAAAAATATACATTGTACCCTCTCCTACCTAAAAATTCATTCAAACCCTCCAAGCCCTTCTGATTCCTCCAACCTTACAGAGAGCTACTGCCTTATGGTGGAGCTGCCTGCACCAACACGGCTGCCAAGTGGGCAGGTGGGGTGCACCTGCACAGTGTGACCACCAACAAAGAGACTTCTGCAGCCAACAACAGCAGGGACCTCACCCGCCTGGGGAGGCAGGAAGTCAGCAGCACAAAGGGCTGAGCTGTTCCTTCTTGGTGAGCTCATCCTCAGCAGGCACCTTCTCGCTGAAGCAGGTGTGGAGCCCTGAGCCCTCAAGTAAGGGCATCAGCATCCACTTCTTTTGCGACTCTTTAAGGTGAAGGATGTGAGCCTCGCCACCCACAGAACCAGGCCCTTCTGAAGACTCCACACTCTGGAGGCCAGAAGGTTCTGGGAGGTATGATAGTTGGGACCTGACTGTACACAGCACAGCCCTCCTGGTGCTGCTCAGGAAGCTCTGAGGGCTGGTTAAGCACAGGCCCTGCTCCCAATTCCCATTTACACAGACCGACAATCCACACTTGGCATCCCCCCAGCAGAGGGGGCACCCATTAGATAGGTTTCCTGAAATCATGTACTGTCTTTCCCTTCTCTAGATAGTGGAGGAAGCTCCTAGCTATTAGGATATTCTCGACATACAATGTATGTAGCAATCTTTTCTTTTTTTTTTGTAATTTTTTAAAAAAATTGTGATTTGGGTGAAAATTTACAGAGCAAATTCACTTTCCATACAGCAGCTCACATATACTTTGTCTCATGATATTGACTACAATTTCCCACAATGCAACACCTCTCCTCTTACTGCCTCCCGACAGTTACCTCTTCCCTGTGTCCATCCCTCCATGCACCCCTGTCTCCTGAGCTGTCCCCTTGTGCATAAACAGCCTTTCTTTCTCCCATGATTGTTCTCTTCAAAGAGTGTATCTACCTCAGGTAAATGTTCACCTCATATGCCTGTCTTTTGTTTGGCTGGAAGCCAAAGGTGTGGGTTCAATTCCAGACCTGAAGGGCAGCTAAGGGTCACAGTCTCCGTGGTTCCACCAGGCTCTATCAGACCAGCAAACCTGGTCCCTTTTTTTTTTCCAAATGATTTTGAGTTTTGTTCCACATTGTTCCCTCTCTATCCAGGATCTCCTAAATAGACCCCCTCTGAGTGGTTGACAGTGGTAGCCGGGCACCATCTAGTTCTTCTGGTCTCATAGCTAATATAGGCTGAGGATCACATGGTGTACCAGTCACTTGGACTGTTTCCATGAATCTTTGGTGTTCTTCATTCTTCTTTGCTCTGGATGAGAGAGACCCATAGTTGCATCTAGATGGCTGCTTGCAAGCTTTTAAGATCCTAGTCGCTACTCACCAAAGTAGGAGGTGGAACAATGTTTTGTGTAGTATGTTATGCCAATTGAGCTTGATGTCCCCTGCAACTATAGTCCCGAGCCCACAGTTCAACTACTCGCTCCCTCTGGGTAGCTGGCTGTGACCAAGAAGTGACTACAATCTCATCCCTTGTCAGCTCTACTATACATTTGGGAATTCTTTCAGAACATACAAATACACTTGTAGAACCATTGTCTGCCAACCCTATACATGGTCTTGGGTACACTCCCTGCTGCGTAGACATACCTAATAGTTCAGCCTGTCTACCCATCTATCCACCCGTATACCCATTTGCTTTCACTGACAATGCAGTACTGTATGTGCAAAAGGGTTCATCTTTGTTGTCTGCACCTCCCATGTACCTCTCTATGTCTTCCTCTTCCTCAGTGTCACCATGTTGATCACTCACATTTGGTACACTGCCCTTCTGTTCACCCAAATCAATACTTGTCTCTACCTCTAACAGTGTTCCCTGTATGTAGCAATCTTTAAAGAAAAGGCACTGCTATTCTTCCTTGATACATGGGTTAAGAATGAATACTGACTGATATATATGTATATACAGAATTGCTCTACACACACTAAGAGGGATCTAAAGTAAAAATGAGAGCTGGGAAGAAAAAGGAGCCTCAGGTTTGGAAGCAAAGGAATTTAAGTCAACAGGTAGCAAGCACAAGGAAGGAAGCATTATAAATCACCATCCCCTTGGATCCCATCTCACAGTGCCAGGAGCAACTGTTGGGTGGGGCTGAACTTCAGAGACCAGAGAAAGTCTCAAGGGCTGTCTTACGGTACTCACTTTTGTATTTTCATGTAACCACAGAATCAGGGGCTTAACTGGAGACCTAAACTAGTTAGAAAACTAAAGAACAGCAGAAATGCTTAACTGAAGAGGACAGTCACAACAATGGGGGGCGGGATTTATCTTTTTGTTCCCTGCATCTCATTTTGGGTACAGGCATGTAGGAAATTATCTTTTGGGCTACATTTTTCTGGTACCCTGCACTGAAAAGCAGGGTTTAATGGCACATTCTGTCTTTAAAAGAATAAGTAAGAATTTCTTATCAGCTCCAATCAGCACTGAGTGGAACATGACTTTAGAGGTGTGCAGGACAAGAACATGGTTTCCATATGAGGTCAGCTGTCATTACTGCTAAAACAACAGTGCAGCTCACAGTCCTCCTAATCCCCACAGTGCTTTAATGCTGCATGGCCAACACTACTAAGTCCTAGAGGAAGATGCAAGACTGTGAGGGTGATCCCCAAATGCCTACCAACTGGCTCCCTTCAAAGACTAAACACAACCACCCTCTCTCTGGTCAAAATAGGACATTCTAGCAAAACTGTAATTTTACCAGAAAGTCTCCAAGCCCTCCTGATGGTTGACATCCCTTTAGAGACCTGCTAACCAGCATAAAGAAACAGCAGGGAGGTTTTACAACTGCGGTGTAGTAAATTACTTAGTGTGGCTTTTCTACCCATATGTCTTTGTAAACTCCAAGGTGGGATTTTCTATGAGCAACTGAGGAGCTCCTGATTGCTGAAGTTGTCCACCTGGAGTATTTCTGTTGGGAGTGGCACAAAACAATGTTCTGGGAGGTGCCCACTGTCTCTCAGGTACTTAGAGTTCTGATGCTATGATCAGCTAGTTTGACCACCCTGCCGGGCTCAAAAGGAGGTCTCCTAGAGGCAGAACTCTCTCTGACTGCTGGTTGAGGAAGACTTGCTGCTGAAAGAGACATGGGCTCCTGAGACATGCGTTGCTGGGAAAGAGATGCAAGAGACACGCATTGCTGAGTGAGACACTGAGGGACCAGCACTGCTGAGAAAGAGACTGTGAGAGACTGTTGGCTGAGGGACAGTGGGCTGGGAGAGAGACTGAGCATTTTTCCTAAACCTGAATTGTAGCCTGTGGTGCTTCCCTAATAAACCCCACAATCTGTGATCTGTGTGGCCACTGCAGCGAATTATCGAACCGAGGAGAGAGGTGGTGGGTGCTTTGGGAGGAACGGTTGGAGAAAGGGTTGGAGGGAGGCAGCATGTCTGGCCTTGTAGGAATAGGCCTTGGGTTATTGATGATGCCTCTGTCTTCCTCTCGTGGGGTTCTAGGAGGTCAGAACATGTTGCCTCTTTGCCGTTTTTGCAACAACCTTTCAGAAACAAGAAGGGCCAGGCAATTTCAAAGGAAGCCCAGCACGATGGCTTAGAAACTAGAGTAGCCAACATCATTTGGAAGTTTCAACAGGCCCACACTTCCAAGAGCACCTAGAATTGTGGGGTCTTTAGGTGGGCAGATCATGAAGCCTGGTGCTTGTCCAGCACATGGGGCTTACGTGGCCACCTTTGGCAAGAGGAGTCAGGGACACCTATGCCTTCAGAGCATCTCCAAAGGATAAGGACACTCTCTGACATTGAGAGTGCATGTGTCTGCAGTCTGTCCAGTGTTAGCAAACACAAAGCATGATTAGAATCTCACTGCTCCCTCAAAGCAACTTTGTGATGTGTCTTCCACAGGGAATTTTGGAGTAACTCTCCAAGGGCTGCCCCAGGAGGTAAAGAGCAAATTTGAGGTTAGAACCTCTGGGTACCTTAAGTTTAGGGCACAGATAAGACTACCTCACTGCAGAGAAGGGCAACGTACCAAATGTGAGCGATCAACATTGTGGCACTGAGGAAGATGAAGGCATAGAGAGGTACATGGGAGGTCAGGCAACAAAGATGAGCCCTTTTGCACATATAGTCCTGCATTGTCAGTGAAGGCAAACATGTGTATAAGAGTGGACAGATAGATTGAACTATTAGGTATGTCTATGCAGCGGGGAGTGTGCCCAAGATCATGTATAGGGTTGGCAGACAATGTTTCTACATGTGTATTTGTACGTTCTGAAAGAATTCCCGAATGTATAGTAGAGCTGACAAGGGACAAGTTTGTAGTCACTTCTCGGGCACAGTCAGCTACCCAGAGGGAGCGAGTGATTGAACCTGTGGGCTCGGGACCATAGTCACAGGGGCCATCAAGCACAATTGGCATGACACACTTCACAAAACATTGTTCCACCTCCTACTTTGGCGAGTAGCGACTGGGATCTTAAAAGCATGCAAGCAGCCATCTAGATGCAACTATGGGTCTCTCCTTGTCCAGAGCAAAGAAGAATGAAGAACACCAAAGATTCATGGAAACAATTAGTCCAAGTGACTGGAATACCATGTGATCCTCAGCCTATACGACTATAAGACCAGAAGAACTAGATGGTGCCCGGCTACCACTGTCAAGCACTTGGAGGGGGATCTATATAGGAGATCCTGGATAGAGAGGGAGAACAATGTGGAACAAAACTCAAAATCATTGGAAAAAAAAAAAAAAGAGTGACCAGGTTTGCTGGTCTGATAGAGCCTGGTGGAACCACTGAGACTATGGCCCCTAGCTGCCCTTCAGGTCTGGAATTGAACCCACACCTGTGGCTTCCAGCCAAACAAAAGACAGGCATATGAGCTGAACATTTAAATTAGGTAAGATACACTCCTTGAAGAGAATAATCATGGGAGAATAGAAGGGCTGTGTATGCACAGGGACATAGTTCAAGGGGCAGGAGCGCATGGAGGGATGGACACAGGGAAGAGGTAACTATGGGGAAGAAGTAGGAGGGGAGCTATTGCATTGTGGTAAACTGTAGTCAATGTCATGAGACAAAGTGTATGTGAACTGCTGTATGGAAAGTGAATTTGCTCTATAAACCTTCACCCAAATCACAATTAAAAAAAGAAGAAGAAGAAGAAAAAGACTATCTCACTGCATGAAGTCACTACCTGAAAGTGGATGGGGCCTGCTCAAAGAGGGCCAAAGCCCAATCTACTTACTGAGGGAGGTAGTGTAACATACTGGTTAAAACAACAGCTCTGGGACTATAGAAATTGGGGTTTGAATACCGGATTTGCTACCCACTTGTGTGTTGATCTTGGGCAAGCTGCTTAATTCTCTAATCTTCAGTCTCTCCCTCTGTGAGATGGAAGGTAATGCCTATCTCATAGGTGGCTGCAAGGATTAAACAAGGTAGGGCAGGTAAAGCTCAGGGTATGTCATAACTTAAGCTATTACTAGTTTTCAAAAGGTTTGTAGGCACAAATACTACAGACATTGATTAGTGGGATAAAGGATCAAAATGGATACATAAATTAATAGAAAATTATTTTTAGCACTTAAGACTTGGGGATGTTCAAAAGGATGAATGATTCCGCCTTCCAATCCTTTGTTCATAAACTTTGAGCATGAGGTCTGCTGCCTGGCACTTGTTCTAAAAGCTGGAAGGGGGCTTGCCTGCCTCATGGCAGTCTACACCTTGTGCTATCGCAGTTAGCGTGAAAAGCAAGCCTGTCTTGCATTTTGAGTTCAGAGGAATCCTAGAAAAGGAAAGGAGGTGAGCCTAAAGTGGAAGGCTGCTCACATCAAGGTAAAGATGGGTGAAATAAAAAGGACAGTAGCTCCACAGACACTTCCACGTGCAGAGGGAAAGGCATAGAGGGAAACATTCTTGGCATTGCTGTCTGTAGCCCCCTCTACTTAGTGCCCTGGTTTTTAATAAGCAAATTTAAACAACAGATGGAAATGACATCATTAGCCCTAGAGAGCCAGCTCTCCCTCCAGCTGGGAGACCACACCACCGATGCCATTATGCAAGGAGGGCAGCACCCAGTGAGGAGCTGCGGAGAACATTACACCATCAGCTGCAGCCTCTCACTGCCTGCCTTTCCCAGACTGCCCAAGCAGTCCCCAGGTAAACCTTGCTGGTCCAAGAAGCTAGGTCTTCCCTTCTCTGAGAAAGGAGGGGCTCTCATTTGGGAATTTGGAATGAAGATTTAGTTCCTATCTCATTCAAGTCCTCTGCTAGATGCCTCAACTGAGGCCAGGGAGTCCCAGAGCTGGCCACATCCACAACAGAGTGGAGAGAGCAGGTCAGTCCAAGAAAGTGAAGCAGAATTGTGTTTGTGAAGTTAGGGGAGGGTGAGGCTAGAGAGACAGGAGATGCTGGACAACGTGGAAGGGTCAGGGGAGCCAGTAGAAAAGAAAATTTCCACTAGAACTCTAACTAGGAATTTGAGGGCAAATTTATAGTCGGAAAATACTCAAAATACAAATATTCAAAAGGTCAGTTCTCCTCTGGGCCCTCAGTGAAATGTCTGATCCATGGAGTCCTCAGCGACGCCTGCCAAGCACTTTAAATTTCAAGTAATTATCTGAGCACATTGTTTTTGGTGCCTGCAGACAGAGAACAGAGCCAGCACTCAGTTTTGTCTCTCTAAACAGCAACTTGCCTACTTTCAGGGATTCTCAGAAAATTATTCTGAGTGTGCTAGGAAACTGCTATTTTTAAGATTCAAATTTCTATCTGGTTTCCCACAGGTGTTAGAGTAATGCTGCCTGGAATGCTGTGACGCTCTGTCACCGTGTTCAGTGGAGAAGGGTCAGTGATTCCCATGCAGGAGCAGGAGCAGGAGCAGGAGCAGCACTCTGGCTTTGTGGCACTCAGGCTTAAGCTTTTTAGAGACCGCAGAAGAGGTCAGCTTCTCAGGCTTTGGCAGATTTGCTTTTTAAAAATGATCACCAGCATTGGTAAATCAAGGCTACCAGAAGTGTCCAAGTACCTGAGGTCCCATCCTTTATGAAATAACGAGGCCACTGATTTGGTTTGGGTCTAATGTTTGAATAAAATATACTGCCATTTCATGTTACAAAATGCGCTTCCCTATAGCTCAACAGAAGCTTACTGTGTTTGTTTTTCTTCTCTGGTAGAGGAGGTGGTTTTTCTGGGTCACCCGTTGAATCAGGAACAGTGAAGTCACCCACAAACTCGACAGGAGCTGAGGAACCTCCTTGCTGAAAGGGGAGAACAGCAGCAAAGGGCGTGAAGGGGATGGACTGGCCTGAGGCTGGGTTCTGCAGGTCATCCTCGGAGATGTTGTCATACTGGGAAGGGTGCCGCTCGTAGGACACCCTACAGCCAGAGCTGTCCATGGTCTGGGAGGCTGCACTCCTGCGCTTCTTCTCTGGGAGAGCAGGTGGCATGTCTGTCTGCTGCCCCAGGGCCAAGTGTCCCTCTGGCTGGGGACAGCTGCCAAGAGGCAGCTGGAAAGGATGGCTAAGAAATGGAGACCCAGACTCCCCCAAAGACTCCGGCAATGGGCTAAGGTTACAGGCCACTTGCTGAGGTATCTGGTCTGCGTTGGAGAGGTCTTGCTGGAGGAATTCATAGTCGGGATCATAGTGATCTGCGTTCACAACAGGGGAAAAAAGACCTGTCAGCCACAAGGCCCTACAGAAAGAAACCATCCCGCCCTTCTTCCTTACCTCATCTTGCTCATGACAGCATGGCAACATGTCATAGTCTCATCTACACAGTGCTCCCACTTTATTTTAAATTCTTCATTTTCCCCTGATTATAAAACATGAGTGTACTGTTGTTTGCTATGCTACTTTGTTTTTTTCAATTTCCTAAAGAAAAATACATGACTATCGTGGAAAATATGGAAAAAAAACTGTATCAGAAAATAATAATCATCCATAATTCTATAATCTAACTATAACCATTATTATAGTTATGCTACAGTTATATGTATTTATAGAGTTACAGCATTTTGATGTATTTCTTTAAAGTCTTTATTTCCTAGGATTTTTTTTTTTTTTTTAAACCAAGCTGAGAAATATCACATAGACAGTCTTGGATTTTTTCCCATTTATCAATATATGCAAGTGATTTTTAATCGCCACATACTTTTTTCATCAAATGAATGTATCATAATCCATCCAATTTCCTACCAGAGTATTTAGATTATTTCCAGCTTTTCACTACTCCTAATAATCTGACATTAACGTCCTCGGACAGAAATCTTGTTATAGGTCTCTCATGTTTCTGGGATAAATTCTAGAAGTGCGCTATCCAGGTAAAGGGATGCTACAGCTTCATGCTCTTTAAATCTAGTGCCAAACTGCCTCTCCCATGTTTATGCAAGCACACCAGCTCAAATGCAGCCACGAGGAGAAGAAGTCAGCATGTGCTGCGAGCTTGCCTTTACCTCTGGCAAATGCTGTCAGGGCTCTCCCCCTTTGTTTCCAGCTCTGAGTGCAGATGGCTCTTAATTTTGGCAAAGAGAGTCAAACTGTACCTGACAGATTAACAGTAACAATAGCTATCATCTGAGTATCTCCTGGGTGGTTTCACATTGTTATTTCATGTAAATTTCAACCTCTTTGAGAGGTAGATACTGTTATCTTCCTTCTGTAGATGAGGAAACTGAGGCTTGGCTTTTAAATGGATATAAGGCCATGGCTGGCCTCCCTGGGGTTTGAACCCAGGATGGTACAAGTCTAAAGAAACCGCTGAGAAATGATGAGACAGCATGAGGAAGTCTGTCCAAGCTGAGTAGTGACAGAGAGGCCTACAGCTCACCTAGTGTTTCACAGCTTGTGTTCCGGGAGCACTGCCCACTGTCCCTGTCCAGAGAGGACAGCTGCTCATCCGATTTGCTGAGCTTGCCTATGCTGCTGCAGGGGGAAAGGCGAGGGGACTCTCCGCCGTATGAGTGGCTGCCTCCTGAGAGTCGTCTCTGTGCGTAACAGTCAACGTCAAAATCCTCATGTGGAAAAACGAATAAACAAATCCAGTCACTTCAGAGAAATGGCGGCAGATAATAGGGAAGAGGGAATCGGTACTTAAGTTTACAAAAGGAAATACCAGCAGCTCAGAAACCTGTTGGAAAGGCCCATCTTTGATGTAAGCAATAAAACACTGTATCTGTGACTACAGAGAAAGACAGTTCTGAGAATGAGTGGCAAGGGAAGGTCCTTAGGCTAGGCTCAGCTGTCCTCAGGAGACGTGCCTTTGGCTCTAGCCTTCCCCCCACCCCAATATGGTAACTTCCACCATATCTTAACTGAAACTGTTCTGCTTTTCCAGATGGGGCTGCATTACCTGCCTATTAATTCCAACAGGCAAACTGGAGCCACTGGTAGCTCGACTCATGGGGGCCACCACAGCCACTCGGGTAGGGGATGGGGCTGACTGTCTCTTCTTGGGTGGCAATGCCGGTGGAGGGCTGAAACAGATCAAACTTTAGTCAAACCAAACAACCCAAGCAAAAATGCTTTAAAAAGATCCATCTATCTACCTGTCTATCTACATAAACCAAAAAGACCAAACTCACTGCTGTTGAGTAGTTTTCTGACTCATAGTGACCCCTCCTTGGGTTTTTGAGGTGGTATCTCTATGGAAGTAGATTGCCCAATCTTCCTTCCAAGGAGTGGCTGGTGGGTTTGAACCACCAGCCTTCAAATGCCTTAGACACTATGCCATCAAAGGTCATAGACAATTGTTATTTCTCTAGAAAGGTATAATGTGGGCCTCTTCATTATTAAAGTTTTCATACTTTCAGCTCCTATCCCACTCCTCTTTTGCTAAAATAAAATCTATAATACCAAAAAAAAAAAAAAAAAAAAAAAAATCTAAAATCAGAAAAATTCAATTTTTTTTTCCTTTAAGAGAAATACATCGTACAGTTTTCACTTGGCTATGGCTAAATGGCAAGGGTGATAATATTTTAGGTCAAACTTCCAAAGCTTCTAAAGAGCAAGAGATTAAGTTTTTTAAGTTCTTACCCTAATTGCAGCATCTGCTTTATTTGCTCCCTCTACCTATTCATTCATCAAATTATATCATAAATAGGTGGTAATGGGGGGTTACTGGAAAAATATAAATTAGCGTAATAGCATCATTACCTATTATCAACCACTCGGATGCCAGGTAAAGGGGGCTTGGGAGGTGCAACCTCTTCATCCGTGGAATCTGGGAGCAGCTCAGTTGACTGAGACATCCCAGTTGTCTTGTTTAGAATCTCCATCTCTCGATCTGTCAGGGGGAGCTCAGGCTGGCTGGATAATGTAAAAGAACTCAGGGTTACAGAAGACCCTGAGAGGGTCAATAATGAATGGGACCTGGGCAAGGGAACGATGGGGGTGGGGACGGGGTGTGGAGCAGGAACTGTGAATACAAGAGCATTGGACTCCAGGTCAGATGAGGCTTCAAGTCCAGTTGATCCCCTATTAGGATTGTGGCCGAGTCCCCCCATTCTCTGCACGTCTGTTTCCTTGTCTGTTAACAAGAATCTTTGAACTAGATGATCTAAAGGCTCCCTAAAATGCTCCAAATTTATGTCTCATATTTTCACTAGGGGCTTGTTGTAGAAGTTGTTGCAAGGCATTTAAATGGTCCATGTTACCCTTTGTTTACCTTCTTGGTGAAGATAATATTACAAAAACTTAAATACTTTAAAGCCAAATCCCCGAAACGCAACCCTAAAAGGTTGTTTCTGATTTTGAAATGAAGCTGGTCAGGCAAAGCACTGGTCTAGATCAATGTACACACTCACACACTAACCTTAGCTATTTAAACTTAGATATTAACTTACACTGAATATTTAAACCTGAGAGTAGGCAGTACACTCCAGAATGTGTGTGAAATATACACATTTCAAAGTAATACAGGTCCTCATTCAGAATTTATCATTGAAAGAGGAATACAGGCCCCGTGTAGTCTACCCAGTGTGGGCTGCTTGATTTGGCTCCCATTCTTTCTCAGGTATAGACTTTGTAACCAAATACAGCAGTGACCAGAGGGTTTTGTCAGCACTCACCCGTCCGGCTTGCAGGCTGGGGAACTGGGCTTCACTGGGCTTGTTGGTGATGGATGTCCCTGCTTCTCAATGGTAAGTCTAACCAGCTCCTATACACCACACAAGAGAAGAAGAATGAAGCACAGGAAAGGTGCCTTTCATCACTTATTTTTTACAACAAGATAGGTCAGTTGTCTGTACTCCACTGCTGCATCTTGTTTTTGTGCCTACAGATTTCCCACACACCATAAACACACAAGTGTTATTTGACTTAGGTACTCTGCACAACCAAATGTTCCCCTACCCTCCAAAAGTACCTTCATAGCGTGCTAAGATGTTTGACATGCATACAAGTACTTCCTCTTGGAATGGGGAAATGACAAATTTCACTGTCTCAAAATGACTATATTTACTGCACAAATTATCAGTGGAACAGATTTCCAGTCACTTTGTGGTGGAAGGACTACTTTTAGTTTCCCAACGCCATCATATTGAGTGTATGATGATGCCCAATGATGATGAAATCTCTGGCTTCAGGAAGGGGTGATTTCTTAAAGTAAGCTGGTTAGATTCAAATGTGGTGGCAGCTGGTACTCCACGATGAACTGGTTGAGGATCTCTGTCAATGGACCAAAAGTTAAGGACATTTTACCCAGTAGAAGATAGGACTTTAGAACCACTGAAATACCAGGGGAAAAATTGGATAAAGGAGTAAAATACCTTGAAAGGAAGAAAAAGAAAGCATTTTCAAATCACAGCCCACCCCCCTCAAAAAGAGGTCAAGATCTTTTTTTTCCCCAATTAGAATGCATTTTTTCCCATTCAATGAGTTTTGACAATTGCAAATACCCATGTAACCACTGCTCAAAAAACACAGAACACTTTCATCACCCTTTCTAGGCAATTTGCCCCATCCTACTTCTACTGTCTTAATTTTATCTGCTCTAGAACTTCATAGAAATGGAATTATACAGTATGTACTATTTTGTGTCTATGTTCTTTTCAGATAGCTTTACTGATACATAACTCACATACCACAAAAAAACCATCCATTTAACGTAGATAATTCAATGGTTTTCAGCATGCTGACGGAGTTGTGCAACCATCAATACAATCAATTTTAGAATATTTCCATCTTTCCAAAAAGAGACCCTGGAGCCATTAGTGTCACCCTCATTTATCCCCAGTCACCCAGTCCTTCTGTTCCTTTTTACTGCTGAGTAGTTTTTAAAAAACTAATTTATTTATCTATTCTCCTATTTTTGAATATTTTATTGTGTTTTAGGTGAAACTTTACAGAGCACATTAGTCTCCCGCTCAAGAATTTATACATATTTTGTTTCGTGACATTAGTTGCAATCCTCTCAATGTAACAGCACTTTTTCCCACTTCCTCCTTGGGTTCCCCATTTCCATTCACCCATCTTTTCTATCCCTTCCTGACTTCCTGTTTGTAGGCAAATGCTGCCCTCTTGGTCTCGTATGGCTGGTGGTTCTGAGGAACACATTCCTCATGGGTATTACTGTTTATTTTATAGGCTTGTCTATTATTTGGCTGAAAGGTGATCTCTGTAAGTGGGTTCAGCTCCAGGTTTGAAGGGTGTCTAAGGGCCATAACCTCAAGGGTTCCATCAGTCTCTGTCAGACCAGCAAGTCTGGTTGTTTTTATGATTTTGAGTTTTGTTCTACATTTTCCTCCCACTCTGTCCAGGACCTTCTATTTTGGTCCCGATCAGAGCAGTCAGTAGCAGTAGCCAGGCACCATCTAGCTCTTCTGGTCTCCGTCTCGTGGAGGCTGTGGTTTGCATGACTCATCAGTACTTTGACTAATTGTTTCCTTCCGTGTTCCTTGATTTTCTTCACTCTTCTTTGTTCCACATGGGAAGAGATCAATGGTTATATCTTAGATAGCTGCTCTTAAGCTTTTAAGATCCTAGTCACTACTCACCAAAGTAGGATGTAGAACACTGTCTATTTTATGATTCTGAATTTTGTTCTACATTTTTCTTCCACTCTGTCCAGGCTCTTCTATTGTAATCACGATCAGGGCAGTGAGTGGTGGTAACCGGGTACCATCTAGTTCTGGTCTTAGGCTAGTGAAGGCGTGGTCTGTATGGTCCATTATTTCTTCGGATTAACTGTTTCCTGGAGTCTCTTGATTGTATCTATTCCACTGTTGATGGATGTCTGGGTAGGATCTACTTGTGTCTAATGAGTGGTTTCAGCATAAACACCTATTCTACAGTTACAGAAAAGACAGCAATGGATGTGAGTGGGTAATATAGAAGCGTGTTCCTAAACCAGAGACTGTAAAACTTCTTCAAACTCAAAAAATGTACAAAAATGCAACACATGTTATTGGCAAGGAGCTAGGTTGTTTAAGAAAAACAGCAACAGAAAACCCAAACTAGAAAAAAAATGAACACATCCAAAGAAACATCAAAGAGGAATTTCACAAGCATAAATACCAATTGTCAATAAGTATGCGAGCTTCTCCAGCTTTGCTGGTAATAAAATAGGAACTTCCAGACACATGAATGGGAGTAACACTTTATACAACTTTTTCAGAGGATGACTTGCCAGTACATTAAATATTTGCATTCTATTTATAAGAACTTATGCCCAAGGAAATGTTATCAATGTGTGTAAAAACTAAGCCATAAAGGATGGCCAACACAGCATTATTTATAATAGGTAACATTGAACTATTTAATATTCCGTAATTAAAGGCCAACAATAAGGATGGATTACATAAATGACAGAACCAAACAATGGATCATTATACTGCTATTAAAAACAAAGTTATAATAAGAATATGTAATTACATGGTATGATTTTAATACAATGTTCAGTGAAAAAGTAACCCCAGATGGTGTATGTGTGTGTGTGTGTATATATATGTGTGTGTGTATATACATATATATATATATATATATATATATATATATATATATAAAAAAAAACTCTCTCTCTCTCTCTATATATATATAAAACAACTATATATATATATATAATTTATTTTGGGATACAAAATAAAACCAAGAGTATATGTATACAACAAAAAATACGACTATGAAACACTTCTCATCTTCTCATTTTTATTTATGAAAAAAATTTTCTATAATGAACATAGGAGCTCTGGTAGCATAATGCCTAAGGCATTTGACTGCTAACCAGAAGGCTGGCAGTTCAAACTCACCAGCCACTCCTCGGAAGGAAGGTTGGGCAATCTATTTCCGTAGTAATACTGCCTCCAAAACCCAAGAGGGGTCGCTATGAGTCAGATCTGACCCAATGGCAGTGCGTATAATGAACATGTATTACTTCTAAAATACTGAAAACCAAAAAATAAACAATTGAAAGCATATATTCTATAAAGGCAGAGTATGTGCCACACGATGTTATAGTACCTAACATACACATTCTAGGAGCTCTGGTAGCATAGTGCCTAAGGCACTTGACTGCTAACCAGAAGGCCAGCAGTTCAAACCCACCAGCCACTCCTTGGAAGGAAGGTTGGGCAATCTACTTCTGTAGTGATATCGCCTCAGAAACCCGAGGAGGGGTTGCTATGAGTTGGGGCCAACTCGATGGCACGTAATAACAAGAACAACAATATATATTCTTGGAGAACATGTAGAGAAGTGAGATCTATAAAAGTACTAGAAGCAAAAAGAATGTTGGTATTTTATTGTCATCACAATTTAGAAGTTAAATAAAACTTTACAAGTGTTTAAGAAATCGCTACCTGGCTGAGAATGACAGGACAAGGAGAGAGAGATGAGAGACTGTGTAAATTAGAACAGATAGCAGTTAGTACAGAGGTAGCCCCTTTGCAGCCTGGAAGGGGGTGGGAAGGCAGCACTTCCTGAAAAGCTCATTGCCAGGTGATGTGGATAGCATCATGGGAATTACAGGGAATCAAAGAGCATCAGACCAAAGTGACTCAAAAGCCCTACGTTCAGGTTCACTATTCCTCACACGCAGGGCGGGAAAAAAAAATTCAACAAACTCTGTTGTCATTGAATTGAACTGCCCCATATGATTTCTAAGACGACAAATCTTTATGCAAGCAGATTGCCCCATTTTTCTCATGTGGAGCAGCCAGTGGGTTCGAACTGCCGACCTTTTGGTTAGCAGCTAGCACTTAACCACTGTGCCACATGGGTTCTTAAACAGGGCAAAAAGAACAGAGAAAAGCCTACGCATTTGTATCTGCTGACGCAGGAGAAAATTCCTCCAATTCTTCATTGATTCATGAGCAATTATAATTAGATTGTCATCTTTCTAGAGAAGCAGCTGTGCAAACTCAACTAATGAATGATAGCAAAAGAATCATGGAATGACAGGCACACATGTGCAAGCTTGTACCCAAATTCCAAGACGGTGTCCTGATTGCAGCAACTCTCCCACCAATCCACTGGCCTAAGCTTGAAAAGAGTATGTCAAAAAGGTGGGCAAGTTTTTTTATATTCACCACCAACCTTCCAGTCCAAACAGACTAGCCAGAAGGTCTTTAGTCTCAACTTGTCTTATCTATCACAGACAGAAGAGAACTCTTAAAATACGCGTGCATCCAGCTACTGTGCTAACACCCTAATCGCATTCAAAGTTGACCATTTGTAACTTGGCCAGAGTTCAACTCCTCCTACTAAAGGTCTCAGCTATCTCTCTGGTGGAAAAACATGGTATTTTGGGCTCTTTGCCTCTTGGCCTCTGTTGAGGGATAAGTCTGTCTCGGCGACTGCTGTATACCAAGTGCCTAGGACTATGCCTGGCATGCAGCAGGTGCTCAATAAATACTTGTAGAAAACAAGTCAAATGAGATGCATTTCATTATGGCTCATCTGTGCAGTTAAACTCTCAGTTTGGGCATGGGTACAACAAGAGCCCACTTCAGGGTGTGTCTGAAGCACACTTGGTAAACTAACTCATGGCACCACAGAATCTGAGGAGGGAGGCAGGCATAGTCCCAAGGTGGCTATCTGACTTTCCAGGGAGGCAATCACAATTCAGTGTTGACAGGGATTAGAAAAAAATTCTCATTTTGTTTTCAAAATATAGAAAATAAAGTACCACAAATCTTACTGCTGTTGGGAATATGCAGAAGA